AAACCAATAGCTATAAACCACTTCAGTTTGTTAACATACTAGTCCAGAAACCAACAACTATAAACCACTTCAGTTTGTTAACATACTAGTCCAGAAACCAACAACTATAAACCACTTCAGTTTGTTAACATACAAGTAGTCCAGAAACCAACAGCTATAAACCACTTCAGTTTGTTAACATACAAGTAGTCCAGAAACGAAAAGTATAAACTACATCAGTTTTTGCCCAATGATTTTAGACAGTTTCTGCTATTCTAAATATGATTACAAATTTTGATTTGGTTAAATATTTTAAAACACTTTACTTGAAGGAACTTCCACACTGTCCAAAGCTGATCTCATTTCCTTTGTTGACAATTGTTCCTTTCACATCAGGTGATAGCTTTCTTCCATTCAAGTAAGTGCCATACTTGGAACTGTTATCTTTCAAGGTAAGAATTGGGAGATGATGTGGTTCAATCTGGTTTGGATAGAACATGCCGGTATATAAAGTATATATTTATATAACCAGTATATAAAGGTTTCTAATCTCATATGATGCATATTTAAAAATAAAAAGTATTTGAAATACAATGCGAGAAAAGTTTGTGATAAGGCTACAATGTTTATAAATAATACTCTTAAGTAGAATATAATAGCTGCTTAGAGTACTGAATAATGGTAGTATGTATCTTTACTGAATAAACACTTGATAGGAGCGTGTTAACATATAGGTACTATACTTAAAATCAATACTCAAGATATAACTTTTAAACAAGAAAACTGAGAAACTAAGTCAATGTCTAAAAGTTTAAATTACAAATTTGCATAAAATTAATTCAATACAAATTAACTTTTGTTTATGTACTATTCACTCTAGTTGTAGTTTGATGTATATTTAAGTCATAATAAAGAATTTTGCATTTAAATTTACTACTTTTGTTGTCTTTTTTTTTGAACTGGGGTGAGTGAGCTGTTGTGAAAAATTTATAGGGGTGAATGATATTGGAAAAGGTTGAGAATCACTGGTTTATCAGAATTTGTCCTGCATGCTGGAAGGATGTAGTAGATAAAGTTAGAAAAAAACAACTCTTACTCTCCAAAGAATAAAATAACTTTTTTATATCAACCTATGTTTTGCCATTGCAGTTTCATCAGGGCTTGTACAAAAACTGGTGAATTAACATAATTTGTTTCTAGCTTTATTATTAGCATTCTGATAAAAGATTGTAAAAGACAAATATAAATATATTTCATCAAACAGAAGCAAAAAAAGATGAAATGTTTTTGTTTTTGGTCAATTTCAATAGTAATATTTTAAAAATTTCTATATTTAATGATTTCTATAAAGATTTATTTAATGTTCTTAGCAATTACAGAACAGCATGATCACCCAAATCAAACTGTCTAAATGCCAATATCTTTTAAGAAAAGGGAGACAGGCAACGTATTGCATTAAAACAAAAAAAGGAAAATCTCGTTAGAAATAAAATCAGTTTTATTCTACAGCTAGATAGAAAATGAAAATCAACTGTAATAAGTACAGAAAACCCACTATTATAGTTGATGTATCAATATCTAAAAGAAACTTTAGTGAGATTTTCTTGCCATAAGTACAGAAAAGCCACTGTTATAGTTGATGTATTATTATTATATAATAAGGGAACTTTAATGAGATTTTCTTTCCACAGTTTACTCTTAATACAAGCTTCCTATATAAAAACCAGGAAAAAGTTAGTATGAAAATTATTTGCAATTGGGTAAAACTATAACAAACGATGCAAGTTTAATCTCACAGAAACGTAGACCTCCCACCATTTTCTAAGACACACTTCTATATTTCTTATTACTAATGATAAGATAAAAATTAAAACTCACATTCCAGTGTACTGGGTTCATTATTCAGTCATTTTGTTTGTTTCTGAAGTTACACTTTGGTTTTAAGTTTTCATTACTCTTGAAGATTGGAAGAATATTGTATTGTAATATTGTTTGTGGCAGCAAGGATAAAAAGCAGTTTTTATATTTATTTAAAGCTGGATGTGAAATGGTTTAAAAATATCTATAATTTAATTTTTAACAAATAATTACATTATTTAAATAACTAAAGTTACATACTGGTTACTTTTTACATAAAATATTCTTATATAAAGACCACTTTACTACAAACACTTTGTTTACATCAAAAATATTAACCCGAGTGAAAGGGTAGTTTTATTTTTAAACAATGTTCTGTACAAAAAAACGGAAGTATCAGTGATTAACTTTGTCTGTTCTGTAGAACATCCATCAAAGCACTATAAATAAACTTGTTAACAATTTGAAATAATTTAATATCTTGTTCATTCTTACTTTCTTGACTATTATTGAAAGTTAATAACTGCCCATCATTTTAATGCTTTTAAGAGAAATTAAACTAAACATATTTTTTTGTTCCTACATTTCACTTTATTCTGCATTTTAACTTAAAACTTGTTGCTTTTATTCTTGCAACACAAAGGTGGAAAGCAACATTCCTTGATCAAATTGTTACATAATAGTAGAATCTTTGATAAACTAAACCATCTACATTTTCCTTACATTTTGAGTTAATTTCATTCATATTGTTACAACAGCAGAAGTCACGTGACGCTGGTAACATGGCATGACTTTCTAGAAGGATCATGACTTTTCCAGGCAACTCTAGTCTTTTCTAGGCACCCTCTATTTTAGTATATAAGCCCGGCAAATAAAGCGGAAATATAATTGCAGATAGACAGATATAGAGACAGATAATTGAGTCAAGCGAGAGGTAGTGACCGTAAGTAAAGTGCGTGAATCATTGTGAATTGTAGTGTGTTTAAGTTAAAGTGACTGTGGAAATTAAGTGTATTACAAAGTTTGTAACAAGAAAGAATAAACTAGTTTTAATCAAGAAAGGACTTGTTTCGCTGAAGTTCCTCAGGAAGAATTTATACCAGAAATTAACAAACAACCAGAGACGTAACAATATGTATAACAAATGTCACAGTTCTACTGAAGTCACCTTTACTAAAACACATAAACCTGTCCTTTGAAGCCACCTTTATTAAAACACATAAACCTGTCCTTTGAAGCCACCTTTATTAAAACACATAAACCTGTCCTTTGAAGCCACCTTTATTAAAACACATAAACCTGTCCTTTGAAGCCACCTTTA